GCAAAGAGGAGGTGGGGGGGGGGGAAAGAAGAAGAAGGCCGGGCGTGGTGGCTCATGCCTGTAATCCCAGCACTTTGGGAGGCCGAGGTGGGCGGATTATCCAAGGTCAGGAGTTCGAGACCAGCCTGACAAACATGGAGAAACCCCATCTCTACTAAAAATACAAAAAGGTAGCCGGGTGTAGTGGTGGGTGCCTGTAATCCCAGCTACTCAGGAGGCTGAGGAAGAAGAATCGCTTGAACCTGGGAGGCAGAAGTTGCAGTGGGCAAAGATTGAGCCATTGCACTCCAGCCTGGGCAACAAGAGTGAAACTCTGTCTCAAAAAAAAAAGAAGAGCAAGCAGTCACACATCACATACACGTACAACACACACACATACAGGCACTAGGGATCAAGTACAACAGACTTTCCAGAGATTACATCAGAATCCAAGACTGTAAAGACACACCTTCAAAATTCAAAGGGAGAAGGATTTCCAAGTTAGGACTAGGACTCTATTTCCCTTGAATAGTAACCAAATAGCACAATATAATAAAGATATTTTCAGATTCTACAAAATAAACCTCCCATGCACTCTCTTTCTCAGGAAGCTGCTAGAAGACATGCTCCAACCAAGCAGAGAGAGCAAACCATGAACAAGGAGGAAACAGCCTCCATGGAACAGGTGACTCAGCACAGGAGAAGCAGTTTCCAGGCTGACAGTGAATGAAGGAGCCAGGGCAACAGCTGAGCAGCGGAGGCCTGGAAAGCAAGGCATTCCCGGCTGCAGCACAGGGAGAAGGCTCCAGGAGAAATGTCACCGGGAAAAAGGCAGAACCCAGAGATTCCTGGATTGACCTAGCTTTACTGAGGGCAGGGCTGGCTTTTATTTATTTTTAAAATTCAATTGAAGTATTTAGGAATGAATTAATGATAGGTATGTAGAAAACAGAACATGCTAAAAGAAGACTAGTAGTAACTGGAGCAGAAAAAAAAAGTTACACAAAAAAAGGAAATGGGTTGGGCACCGTGGCTCATGCCTATAATCCTGGCTCTTTGTGAGGCCGAGGTGAAAGGATCGTTTGAGCCTGGGGTTCAAGACCACCCTGGGCAACACAGTGAGACTTCTTCTCCAGAAACATTTTTTTAAAAATTAGCGGGGCATGGTGGCACACTTTTTAAAAAATTAGGGGGGCATGGTGGCTACTTAGGAGCCTGAGGCAGGAGGGTCACTTGAGCCTGGGAGGTCGAGGCTGCCTTGAGCTGTGATCACTGTGCTACTGCACTCCTGTCTGGGCAACAGAGACCCCAGCTCAAAAAAAAAGTCTGGGAACACTAATAGGCCCCAGCACTGAACAAGGTATACAAACATATAATAATACAAACACTGGGCCAGGCTCAGTGGCTCACGCCTGTAATCCCAGCATTTTGGGAGGCTGAGGCAGGAGGACCACGAGGTCAGGAGATCGAGACCATCCTGGCTAACATAGAGAAACCCATCTCCACTAAAAATACAAAAATTTAGCCAGGTGTGGTGGCATGCACCTGTAGTCCCAGCTACTCGGGAGGCTGAGGCCAGAGAATCACTTGAACCAGGAGGCGGAGGTTGCAGTGAGCTGAGATCACGCCACTGCACTCCAGCCTGGGCGACAAGAGTGAAACCCTGTTTCAAAAAATAATAATAGTAGTAATGCAAACACTGAATGCAGAAAAAAGTGTGTGAAAAAATTCTGATAGTCACAATGAAAAAATGAGGGAAAGAAGTGTGTGTGTGGCATGTGTGTGCCTGTGTGGGAGGCCAGGGGAAGATACCTAAATCAAAATCCTCCATGACAGACACAGTGTCTCATGCCTGTATTCCCAGTACTCTGAGAGGCTGAGGCGGGAGGACTCTTTGAGGCCAGGAGTTCGAGACCAGCTTGGGCAACACAGCAAGATCCCATCTCTATAAAAAACTTAAAAATGAGAAAATTAGCCAGGCATGGTGGCATGGTTGAGGCCAGGAACTCAAGGCTGCAGTAGCTATGATTGAGCCACTGCATTGCAGCCTGGGCAACAGAATAAGACCTGTCTCTTAAACAAACAAACAGAGCCCTTCCATAGTAGGAAGTCACCATGTAACGTTACATAAAACTGAAAAACCACACACACACCAAAGTATAGGCATATTTTTAAGTCATTCTAGGAAGAAAACAGCTGAAAGAATTCAAAGCATAGTGAACTTCGGAGTGAGGAGTCGGGGCAGTTTTGTGTTTCAACCCTATGCCTAATTACTTTAATAAACGTAATAAGCAAAATTTTGTTAAAAAAGAAAAAAAGCAAATGACTGCAGTGGCTAGCTCTGAGTGGGCCCTCAGGAGGGGCTGGCTGGACCTGCAGAGTTCTCCAGCCCAGGTGACTCCTGCTCCCACTCCTGGGCCCTCCTGGCCCCTCCTGGGCACTGAGAAGGAAGGGTGGGAAGGGGAAAACATGGGGGGACACTCTGAATTTTAAGGGACTGCCCCATCACTGACTCTGCAGAAGCAGCTGCAAGAGAGGGGCTGAGACCCAGAGCAGTGGTGCAGGGACACGGCAAGGACCAGCACCCGCTGCCTCGGCTGCTAAACACTGGTGAACTCAGGGGCAGCCTGAACTTCGCCACAGCTGCTGTGTTGTTTGTAAATTCCCTGGGAGAGGCCAGGCTGAAGGGATAATGGAGTTGCTAGGAGATGTGCTTCACAGGGTGGCCAACTTCCTGGGGGACCTCTCCCTGGGCTGGGAGGCAGGTCAGGACAGGCAGGGCCTAAACAAAGAGGCTTCTGGATCCGGGGGTGCCCACCAGCCATCTGCTGCTGCCTCTGGGGCACAGAGTGAGGGTGAAGCAGAGGCTCCCCTGGCTGTGTGCCCCACCTTCTGCCATGCGCCTGTCTTTGGGGTCCCGCCAAGAAGAGAGCCCACACTTGTCCCCCAACCACACAGGAGGGGCCCGCCTTGGCAGGGAACAGCTTTGTGCTTCTAAAGGAACAGGTGGGCAGAGGCTGCTCCTGGGCACCCATGCAAGGCTGGCTACTGAATGGATGAGGATTCTCAGCCCCACCCTTTGCCAATTCCAGCCTTTACTGTGCCCCAGGGACCCAGAGGTTTCCCTGGAGACTTGGCTGCTTCCAGAACATCAGATACGAAGCCCCAGTGAAGCCCTGAGCAGGTCCCCATCTGGCCATAGTATTGTCGCTTGGAAGGACAGGACGGAACAGTAGCCTGCGAGGAGGGAGCATGGGAAGTTACCGAGGCCCCACACAGAGGAATGTGAGGCATAGGGCAGGGGTTTAATCGAGTCCCTTATTCATCCAAAAGGGAGGGAGCAGACATCTTCCATGAGCCGGCTCTGTCTGGGCGTGGGCTGTGCCCCATCCTGCTCCAGCAGAGCTAAGTGTGCTCAGGAAGATGGAACAAAAAGCGACGGAATGAAAAGCAAGGTAACATCTAACTGTGGTGGGGCCAAGGACCTGGATGGGTGCTGGGGGTGAGAGTGGCAGGGAACAGACAAATGGAAAGGAGGGGCCCCACACAGAGCAGGAGAAGAGCTTCCAAGGCCGGGGACACGTCAAGCCCTTGAGGCTGGGAAGCACCTGCCTGATGTGGCCGCAGTTCGGGGTGGGCAGGTGGAAATATGAAAGGCTGGGGTGCAATGGGTTCCTGTTTGGCGCCTTCATTTTCTTGCCAAACCTAAAGGCATTTCCTGTGCCCGGTGAGTTCTCAGGGATACACAAGGTTCAATGTAGGCAGGAAGAAAGACTCCAGCTGCCTAGGGGATGAGCCTGTTGCACCCCAATATCCACAGAGCACAGGCCTGGAGCAGCACCCTCCCAGGACACGGAAATAGATAACTTCTGGGCATGGCCAGAGCTGCTCAGCCTGAGATGAGATAAATCACATCTGGTCACTTTATCTAAAACCAGTAGTGCAGGTGTGGGTAGGAAACAAGAAACCTCACGCTCTGAGAAGAGGGTGGGTATCAATGCAGGGGTCTTATTTTTGTTTTTTTGAGACAGAGTTTGTTGTCCAGGCTGGAATGCAATGGAGCAATCTCAGCTCACCGCAGCCTCTGCCTCCCAGGTTCAAGCAATTCTCCTGCCTCAGCTTCCTGAGTAGCTGGGATTACAGGCATGCACCACCACAGCCGGCTGATTTTTTTATTTTTAGTAGAGACAGGGTTTCTCCACACTGGTCACGTTGGTCTCAAACTCCTGACCTCAGGTGATCCACCAGCCTCAGCCTCCCAAAGTGCTAGGATTACAGGTGTGAGCCACTGGGCCCAGCCCAACATAGGAGGAACTCCTTCTCTCCATTCCTGCTGGTCTGTTCAGGGCAGACCTGGGCATCGCTGGCCTCTGACGGAGGCGGAATGCCTGGGACCTGCCCAAGACAGGTCAGGGGACAGCTCCCATGACAGCAGCATCCTGATCTCCTTGTGGTGACTGTTTGCGGCCACAGACACCCACAGGGCAGCAGGGGTGAGGCTGGCTTCTCTTGGCAACTCAGCTCCAGGCCTGTGGTCAGAGCTCAGGACAGGAGCGGGTCAAGTTTCCACTCCACACCCAGAACCAAGTCCCCAAAAGGAATCGAATCCTCTTCCTGGGTGGCACAGCAGGGAACCCACTCGTGGAACAAAGCCCTCAGAATTAAAACCCATGGGGACAGACGCCCAGCCCTGCCACTGACTTGCTGGGGTCCCTGGACGGGTCCCTACCCAACTGTACCTGGGGTCTCTACAAACAGACCACTTGCTTGCTGCCCCCACCCCACCCGAAATGCTGGCATTAAGAAATGTGACCCAAGTGGACGGCCCCTACTTCCAGGTACCTGCGAGGTGAGGCTGTGGCTGCATGCACTGTTAGCTGTCAGTTTGGGACAGAAACACTACAGTGGGTAAAGAATTGAGGGGTATGTCAACATAGTCCTTGTGAGGCCCCTCAGGGAGGAATGTGGGGAGAGAAGCTTCCCGGCCCCCGGGTAGCCCCCCACCCCTTGCCCATCCTCACCCTCGTAGCAGTCTCGGACGGTGCCGAAGTACACGTAGTACTGGTCGTTGGTGAAGAAGAGGAGGCTGAGCCAGGAGTCAAAGGCGTAGATGGGCACGATGAAGAGGATGCGCACAATGTAGCGCTGCTCGTTGGGGCAGCTGTAGCAGCGCAGGTGCATGTAGATCTGGGGGCAGAGGCGCGGGGTCAGCTGGGGACCTTCCTGTCCGCAGGGATGGGAGGGCGGGTGGGCTTCCGGCTCTGCCACCAACTCATCTGTGACCCGATGCACATGACCTACCCCTGAACTCAGAGCCCTGCTCTCCAAAATGCAGATGACAAGACTTGCCTCCCAAGACCACTGTGAGACTCAGACCAGTGGGCATGCACAAGGCTCGTGGCGCGCATGCAGTGGTGCCTGTGGGGCGGCCTCACAGGTGCAGGTGGCAGTGAGCTCACACCCCAGACCACAGGAGGGCCAATGACAAGGATGGAAATCCAGATTCCACAAGCTCCCGAGGGGACCTCACCCACAGGCAGCTCTGGGCCATCAGTGTGTGCCCTTTCTCTCTGCCTCACTCCAGCTGTGACTGTGGCAGCACTGAGCTAAGTAACCTGGGTTGCAGGCCTGCCCTGTCCCTTAACTTGTGGCAAGACAGATGGGGCCCTCACTCTATGGCAGGTGGACACGCTTCCTGGCTGAGTGGCTGCAGGGATGTCCTCAGGCTGTGCCTCATCCTCCCGTCTGGTAAACAGAGACAGCACTGCCTGCCTCACCAGGAGGTTAGGAGAATGACATGCTACTTTTAGGAAGCAGAGGGAAAAACTAAAAGCTACACACAAATGCCAAGAACTGCTCTACCACGGTCCTCAGTCCTGGCAGCCCCTGGGTGTCTCGTCCCAGCTCTCATGAAATCACACTTGGCCCAGCCAAGCCCCGGGCTAGGGAGGAAAAGAACAAAATATTCTCTATCTGCTATGAGCCAAAAGCCTTGGACACAAATGGGTTCTAAATGGGATGGGGACATAGAGCAGCTGGCAAGGGGCTGACTGGGAAACCCAGGCAGACGCCCTGCCCCTCTCCACTGGACCACCTTCAAACCTCTGCAGGTCGCCAAGACCCGTCCCAGCCAACAGCAGTCTCCTCTGGGGTCACGGGTACAGGCAGATGGGAGACTCGACTTCCATCCCAGTCTGCCACCAATTTCCAAGTGACCAAGCTAGTTCCTCTCCCCCTTCCCCTCTGACTCTCCATTTTCTCATCTGCAAAGGGGTCCCTGTCCCTGTACTCCTGCAGTTCTAGGCTCTCTGCTGCTTAGGCTGGACCTGAAACTAGTTCCAGCCAATGGAAGGTGAACGGAGTGACGAGTGTCACCTCTGGATTGAGGTGGTTCAATATCCAGAGGGCCTTCACACACTCCCTGCTGCCAGGTGTCAGAGGGCCGAGCCTTGAAGCCGGAGCCACACATCAAAACCTGCACTGCCCTGGGCCCTGGGATGTGGGCAAGAAGCCGACTTCTATCAAGGGAAGCCTCTGAGAACACAGGGCTTACCTGTGTTCTTACTGCAGCACAGCCTGGCCTAGCCTAACTCACACTCTGCTGGGCTAGGAACCTCTCAGGATGCTTCTAGAAGCCCCCTGCCAGGCTTGGTACCTGGTGGCATGTGATGAGCAGGGCCGTCCACACGAAGAAGCCGGAGATGGCCTGAGCGGCAGTTGTCATCAGGAATACAGGCTGCTCCATGGCGGTGGGGCTGCCCTCAGGGATCACGGAGACGCTGGGAGAGGCTGCTGCAGTCGTGGGCGACACTGGATCCGGGGCCAGCACAGCCCCCCTCACTGTCATGATGCCCGGCAGCAGGAGGCCTCCTGAGGGAAACCCTTGCAGTAAGTGACAAGCTAGCCTAGAGAGAAGAAATTGCAATGTGAGTCTCCTCCAAGGGTAAGTGGCAGCGTTGGAAAGAACCTTCCAGGTCTCTCTACCTACCTCTTGACCATATCTCAACTGACCCCAACCATCACCCTGCCCCAGCCAGCCTCCCTCCTGGATTGATACAACAGGCCCTTGACCCGTTTCTCTGCTTCTGCCCTTGCCTCTGATGATCAGTCCCTACTCAGCAGTCTTGTGACCCTTCCAAGGCTTAGCCAGTACTGGCCACCCCCACTCAAAACTCTCCAATAGCTCCCAGCTCCTCTGGAGTAAAAACCACAGTCCTTACAACAGCCCAAAGGACTCGATGGCCCTCCTGGCCTCTATGATCTCAGCTCCTACAGTTTCAACTTCCATCCTCAGCTGCAGCCACACTGGCCTCTTTGCTGTTCCTTCAACATACTAAGCCCACTTCTGCCACAGGGCCTTTGCACTGGCTGTCTCTGCCCAGCCACACAGCTCCCTCCCACCTTTCCTTTAGGTCTCTACCTTGACCACCATGCAAACATGTCAGCCTCTCCCAGGCTGAGCTTCACCATCTTTTCCTCCACAGCACTCATTACATCAACACCACCTAACTCGATTCACTCACATATTGATTAACTGTCCCCCCCAACCCCACCTAGAACGCAGGCTCCCTGGGGACAGCAGCTCTATTCAGGACTGGACAGGCAGCACTGAGAACCATGGGCACACAACAGACATTTGGGAACTTCCTGCTGGGCCTGAACACCTTTGTACCCCTGAACCAGTAAAACCACTTGACTGCTGAGGTCTCCTCTGAGGGCTTGTGTATGTTCTTCGCCATGTCCACCCCTTTCCCTAATGACTGATCCACTCCCCACCATCCAGCTGTGCCGTTTTGGAGACTGTGGCTCCTCCCCAGTCTGTGCACCTCTAAACTCTCATCTTTTAACCCAGCCCATGTGCCACCCCTCCTGCAAGCCGCCTGCACACCTCCAGTTCTCAGAGACTTCTAGCTATTCCGCGTCCTTCTTGTCGTAATGCACGGATCACACTACTCACGGTTCATGCTCCTGCTTACTCTTTGAGGCAAGACCCTAGCACCCCCAGCCCACTTAAAATATTTATTATTATTGTTGTTATTTTGAGGCAGGGTCTCACTCTGTCACCCAGGCTGGAGTGCAGTGGTGCAATCTCGGCTCACTGCAGCTTCTGCCTCCCGGACTCAAGTAATCCTCCTGCCATAGCCTCCTGAGAAGCTGGGATTACAGGCGTATGCCACCATGCCTGGCTAATTTTCTAATTTTTTTTGTAGAGATGGGGTCTCCCTATGTTGCCCGGTCTTGAACGCCTGGCCTCAAGCAATCCTCCTGCCTCATCCTCCCAAAATGCTGGGATTATAGGCGTGGGCCATCATGCCTGGCCTATCTATTGATTTTCATGGCTCGTTTCTAAAGAATTTGAGGTGCCTCACAGTGAAACAAAGAATAGTGGTAGAGCTGTCATGAATGAGATTAGTGCCCTCATAAAAGGAACCTCAGTTAATTGCGGAGCCCCTTCCACCACATGAGGACACAAGAAGAAGGCTCTGTCTACAAACCAAAAAGTGAGCCCTCTCCACACACTGCATCTACCAGCACCTTGATCTTTGTCTTCCAGCCTCCAGAACTGTGAGAAAGGAGGCAGCTTATTTAGTCTTAAGTCATAGTGGCTCAAAACTAAGGCAGGAGCCTGGCCGTACCCTCTACCCACAGCCCTGATGGGGCATCCCTTTCAGTCCAGCCACCTGCTGACAGGCTGGTCAATGCCATCCAGCAAACACCCCCGCCCACATCACCAACTCTGTCAATAATCCGTGACGCAACAATTTCAAAAGATGCAAAGTGCAGTGTGTGGGCACTGTTGAAAGAGCCTGGCCGGAGCATGAGCACCAGCTACGCTGCCGTGTGGGTTCCCTGGTCCAAAACTGAGCTCAGAAAATGAGCAAACCCCAGTCCCCAACCATCTTGGTCTGAACCCAGAGGTCAACCTAGATGGTCTCAAGGTCCCTTCCAAGCCTGCAAGCTGGTATTTAAATCAGAATATCCTGACACTGACGGAGGTTTCACTGGGCCTTCCCGGGTGCAGTGGCCTGTAGCCTGGCCCTGTGATGCAGAGGATTCTGCGCCCGCGGTCGGTCTGCACTGCTTGCCTGTGCCCCGGCTCCTCACCAGTGGCCGCAGCATCTCCACCACCATTTTGGCTCTTAGCTGTAAGTGTGCACCCTAGGAGAGCCCTTCACATTTCTATTTTCCCACACATACATGATCTCTTAACACACCAATTGAGACACAAATCCAGATTAAAACTCAAAAACAGAGAAGGCTTCTATATAAAGAAATTCAAAAATGGAGAAGGTGTCTATATAAAGACCGGTGGCAAGCTTCGAAAAAGAGACACAGTGACAAGTCCAAGAATAGCTCCTGTTTAAGGATGGTTGCAAAGCTGAAAACCAGTGCCAGAAATATTTCTTGAAAAAGACTTGGGTTGTAAATCATCATCTTTGTCTACCATTGTTGTAACTGAGCGAGTTAGAAGGAATGTGCCACCCAATGAGTTCCAAATTAAGAGTCCTTTTTTAATTAGCCAGCGACCGAGAGACGGCTAGCACTCAAAATTCTCTCGGCCCCAAGGAAGGGGCTTGATTATCTTTTATACCTTGATTTAGGTAGCGGAGGGGGAGCCTAGCTGAAGCAGAATTTGCAGAAAAGCAGGTTAGAGGAAGGGGCTGTGAGCACAGGTGTCACCAAGAAGGGGGGTGTTCAGGCTCCTTCTACACAATGATCAAAGGGAAATCTTTTTCTTACAAAAGCTGGTGGGGAGGTGGTGGTATGCCAAGCACGATGCAGTTACAATGGTTACAAGTGTTAGGAACAGTGCGCTTCAACACTTCTAAGTGCAGCGTGACCCAGTTATGCACTCAGGGGGCTGTGGTAGGGAGGGGGAAGCCAGGTTGGAGTTTACAGCTAAGATGGAGTCAGTGATGCTAGCCCAGGGTAGGTTATTACACCATCCCAAATTAAATGATGGGGAATTGTGGGGGGGACCAGAGGAAGTACAAATACTCCTAAATCTTCACCTTCCCGGGTGGGCGCGTTGGCTCACATCTGTAATCCCAGCACTTTGGGAGGCCAACGTGGGCGGATCACCTGAGGTCGGGAGTTTGAGACAGCCTGGCCAACATGGAGAAACCCCATCTCTACTAAAAATACAAAATTAGCCAAGCATGGTGGCGCACGCCTGTAATCCCAGCTACTTGGAAGGCTGACGCAGGAGAATCACTTGAACCCAGGAGGCAGAAGTGGTGAGCAGAGATCGCACCATTACACTCCAGCCTGGGCAACAAGAGCGAAACTCAATCTCAAAAAAAAAAAACAAAAAAAACTTCACCTTCCTAGCAAGGTGCAGGGGGATGTCAAAGGCTCTTCTGTTCATGACTAAACGCAGTGTTGAGAAGCCCCCCACTTGAGCTCCCTTGCTGGAGGCACCCCCCAAGAACAGACCCGAGCCAGGGCTGGGATCTGGGTGAAGGCTGCAGGGCAGCTTCTTCCTGCGGCTTTGCTCACTCACATGCACATGCCCGCTCAGCATTCAGCGCCCCTTCACATTCCTCATGTAGGTCGTTTATTTCACAAGAGGAAACGCACCCAGAGATGTGAGTGACTTACCCCCAAATCAGAGCCAGGACTCAAAGCCATGTCCTATAAACACATTGTCTCCCTACCTCCTACAAAGTGGGGGGACCTAGCTGAGTCACCCTTCCTGCTCCAGAGCCTCCTAACAAGACATAGCCATGCCCATCCTTCCACAGTCTCCAGACTCCTGTAGCAGGAGGGGAGGCAGGTCCCCCATGGCGGAGGAGAAGCCATCATGGCTGGGAGTGTTTCTGCAGCGCGACCCAGGCTGGCCACATTTCTGCACTGGGGCCCATTCATAAACAACTTAGTTTACTCCTGGGCAGCCCTGGCGGCTTACAAAGCATTTCTCCAAACATTATCTCATATATTTTCTCAAGGCAACTTTGAAGTAAGTAACATTATCTCCACCTTAGAGATGAGGAAAATGAAGCAGAACTTGGTTTTACAGCCACCCAGGATGACAACGATTCAGGGGTTTTCATAATTCCCCAAAATCCTTAAAGCAATATTCTAGCTCACAGGCGCATGGTCTCTAACACCCAAGAGAGTAGGTGCAGGTAGCTGCTGGAAGGCCCAGAGCTCGCCTTGCTCTCTGGACCCAAGGCAGCACACGGAGGCTGTCAAACATACTCCCAAGCCAGCTGCCACAAGGCAAGACTCTGCTAACTGTTCACACTGAGTGATGGGTCTGGGGACAGGGTAGGGACTGGGATTTGACGCTTTCACACTCTGTACAGGCATCTACCGGGAAGCTGCCTGCCCAGGTCCCACAAGCAAGCAAGACGTTCCCCTGGCACAGCCTGTGGACCCTGGGGAAGGAATGGCAATGCCATTTGATGCAGCTTCTTTACTCCTGTGGGGTAAGGAGTGGGGAAGGGCTCCACCCATGTCTCCCCTCTTCCAATGCAGTCCATGCAAACGAATGAGGCTCCGAATTCCAGCTGCTCTGGCAGGACCCCATTATTTTTTTTTTTTGAGACAGAGTTTTGCTGTTGCTCAGGCTGGAGTGCAATGGCATGATCACAGCTCACTGCAGCCTTGACCCCCCCCGGGCCCAAGTCATCCTCCCACCTCAGCCTCCCAAGTAGCTGGGACCACATGCATGTGCCACCACTGTCCAACAAATTTTTTTTTTTTTTTGAGACAGGATTTCGCTCTGTCGCCCAGGCTGGAGTGCAGTGGTGTGATCTTAGCTCACTGCAACCTCTGCCTCCTGGAATCAAACCATCCTCCAACCTCAGCCTCCCAAGTAGCTGGGACTATAGGCGTGAGCCACCATGCCCGGCTAATTTTTATATTTTTTTTGTAGGAATGAGGTTTCACCATGTTACTCAAGCTGGTCTTGAGCTACTGGGCTCAAGTGATCCTCCCGTCTCAGCCTCCCAAAGTGCTGGGATTATAGGTGTGGGCCACTGCAACTGTCTCCCATTATTTTCCTAATTGACCAAGTGTTAAACTTCTGCCAGGGACATGGCAGAGAGTCCTGAGGGAAGATGTTGAAATCATCCTTCTAACAAGTTCTGAGGCCTCTGGACTCCATGCTGGGCACCGGAAGACCCAGCCTCAGCCTTTAAGGTGGTCTAAGCCACTCTTCATGCCTACTCTACGCCGCAGGCAGGAGTGACCTGGAGGCCTCTTCCCTTTGCACTGCTGAGGTGAGTGCCTAGCACTACAGGAGCCTAGAGCAAGCATCGGGCTTGGCCAGACTCAGGAGGGTTCAGGGAAGGCTTCCATGACGTGGGGACATAACCAAGCTTCCACTGTGAGTCACCCAACAGGACTCCCACCGGACTCCACCACATGCAACCTATTCGGGTGACTTCTCCCAGAGCCTCAGTTTCTTCACTGTAATATTTCAGGAAAACTATATAATTGATAAGGGGCAGTTCTAGGTAACAGAAGTCCCATTAACAAATGGAGACATGGCCCAGCACAGTGGCTCATGCCTGTAATCCCAGCACTTTGGGAGGCCAAGGTAGGTGCATCACTTGAGGTCAGGAATTCAAGATGAGCCTGACCAACAGGGTGAAACACCATCTCTAGTAAAAATACAAAAATTAGCTGGGTGTGGTGACATGCACCTGTGATCCCAGCTACTCAGGAGGCTAAGGCAAGGGAATCACTTGAACCCAGGAGACAGAGGTTGCAGTGAGCTGAGACTGTGCCATTGCACTCCAGCCTGGGCAACAGAGCGAGACTCCATCTCAAAAATAAAAATAAATAAATGGAGACAGAATAATAGAACTAAAAGCAACCATTGTGCAACTCCTAATACAAATAATGATACAGATATGAATGATAAAACCAGAAGGTGAATGGCTGATGGGGAATTTGGTGATGGAAAAACCAGGCAGCATCCTCCAAACCCACAGTCAACATCAATGCCACAGAAACAAGGCAGCCAGGTGTTTTGAGGCTTCTGACAGATGCACGGGAAGCAAACAGCACCACCTACAAAGGACTC